CATTTTCTGACTTCCCTCTATCAGCTATATCCTCAAACCTGAACGGTAACACGCTCATGCCATTGTATCGTAGAATATAGATGACTAACAAACATACGACGTGTCTGATCAACCGAGCGTATACACAGAGGAATTTATACGAAAGTTAATACCATGCAAATTGTAACTTGAAACTTAAAATGCCTTTGTTTGTGCAAGTTAATTTATCACTTACACTCTCATACACATTTTGGCTTATTCTCCATAAAATGACCATTAACTTTCGTCTTTTCAAACCGACCGATATTATCATAACCACAGCACGAGACAATTGAGTTCAGGGACATCCCTTTCATTGTGGATGACAACACCAACGACGACCGAGTGACACAAGTGAATGAACTTAGCGGTGCATCAGAAGCTGTTGTGGTTCGGCATTTAGAAGGTTGTCTAACTGCAAGATAACCACCACTGCTGTCTTTTATTATTAGCTGCAGTTTAGCATTAACATCTGATAATAGGTGGGGCACACGCTGATCATTTACACTAACGGTCTCACGAGTATTCGTACCTTCTGCAACCGCATCTGCCTTTATGTCTACTTCACGTTGTAGTTGTACAGAACCTTTATTCAACTCAGTAGTAGTAGGCATTCTCCTCATCTCATCATGATAAACCAAAGACAAATCTGCACTATCATGATCATTATCACAAACATTCACTTTACCGTCGTCTATCTGGTCAACTTCATCATTTTCAAACCCTTTAATAACAGCAGTAGACAATTTTGGTTCCTCCTCACAAATTTTTAAAGGTTTTATACCTTTACTCTGGCCAGTAATACTTCGTAAACTTGTGGAGTCAGAACCGGATTCTGAAACTGTAACTCTCTTTTTCTACACAAACTTTGGTGTCGTCTGTGACATTCTATTCAACAATGGTTTACCACTTGCAACTACAGGCTTCTTCACTTCACTATTATCGTCACACAATTCGTAGTCAGACCTTGATGACACTGATTTCACATTTAGCTTATCACTAAACTTGGTCACTGATCCACAGTTCACCTTTGTATGCACTTCCTGAAAACGTGTGAAACACAACCGTGTTTGTCTCGCAACTTGTAACCTATCTGTTGGGGATGTCCCACGAAAGCTGTTACACTCACTAAGTTTATATGGATTACCAAACACCATAAAGCTTTCTCGATATCCACTTCTCTGAGACCCTTTCGTCATCAATGATTGCGTTTCGCTCTCAGACTGCTCTATTCTAGGGGTGTGATGCAATATACTGGCGAATTTCCAGATAGACTGATTTACACTATTGTTTACCAGTTTCAGAATATCATCGAGCTTTGGCTCTAAACCTTCATCCTCTATACGACAGCTCATCTTCACCCACTTCCTTTGCTGTCGAGTAGGTAGGCGTCTCGCTGTTACTTCTAGGGCGGAACTTGAGTTCAGATCACTCATGCAGTTCATCGAAATGAATGCATTCTTGTATGTCATCAGATTGTCCAGAAACTCAGATAGTGCCTTGGAGTCATCTCGTAATTGATTACCATTACCTTTAACAGCCTCAAATAATTTCCTTACAATCATCGAAGATCTTCCGAATCTTTGACGCAGGATACGCGTCGCCTCAGTTTATCCTTCCTCTGGTGGCATAAGCTTACCGCACTTTATCTCTCTTGCTGGAACTCCAGTGCAGTATCTCATCAAACGCATCAACTTTACTTCATCTTTTGATGAAAAACTAATCAGCATGATTTGAAACTCCTTTGCAAACTGTAAATATTCAGCTGGGTTCGTATCAATGTTCTGACGCTCGAATTTAGTTAAATTTAAAAGCTTACTATCCCTGCACGGCGAACCATTAGCAACTGGCTCATCAAGCTGAGCATCATACATATCATTACAATTATCAAGCAACTCAGCATCACTTACTTTCCTGCTTGCTTCCAAGACGCTCTGTCCCTTCTTTGAGTCAGGCATCATTGAACTTGGCCAAAATATCAGAAAAGTTCCAGATAATAATCGTCTAAATAAGACGGGAGTCACGACGACAAACAAAGAAAAACTGACAAAAATTGTCAGCCAGCTCTCAAGTATTGTCAATGTCCAGCTCTTACTACGCTGGACCTCACGCTGTCCCTGGAAGTCTTTCAGAAATAATTGCTAATAACCAACTCGAGAAAACCAGAACACAGATTGGCGACTCTAGAATCTCTTATTCTTACGCCAATATGTAACAAACAATAAGGTTATTGTACAAAAGGTGTCAATGTATTTGAACATTGAACGATCAATTCATGGTTGCTTGCTCAGACCCAACTTCCACAATTTTCGCGGAAGCATCAATCAGCCAGTCATCGTCTCATCGGTCGCTGTTCAGAAAGAAGTCAGACCAAAACTGTCAGAAGTAATGTTGTGATTTATTATTGTAATATTTGTTCATAGACCTTAGTTAAAGCCTAATTTTAAAGTTGGATATATGTTGGTGTTAGAATAAAGAATTCTCGAGTAGCCAATCGGTGTTTTGGTTTTGCGTCCGTTATTACTAAGCGTTTCTGAGAAACTTCAAGGAACAGCGTGAGTCCCAGCGTAGCAAGAGCTTGGCACTGACGGTTTACGATACGTGACTGACACAAGGTCTAAGAATGAATGTTATAACAACAAATCTCGGTATAAATTTTGATAGTTTTCTCTCTTCGTGTGAACAGCCAATGATGAGACGATGACTTCCGGATTAATGACTCCCGCAAAAAACGGGAGGAGTTGGGTTTGAGCAAACAACCATGAATAGATCGTTCAATCATCACCTGCATTGACTTCATCGTATGTAATTCTTTTTTAAAATCATTTTCCAGCCTATCGATTTTCTGTTAGCACTTGCTCTACTACATTCATTGCTATTTCACGTATTTGGACCCAGTACATCAGGCATTAATAAGCCTACCTAACGCTTTCCCTTTAGAGGTTAAAATTTCTTTTCTTTCTTAAAAAAGCACACAAGTACAACAGATTCACTCTTCTCATATGGTTCAAACTTGTTTGATTTAGATTCTCTCTCAATATATAGCTGAATTTCTAACTGATAATAGACACCCTGATGGTATATTCACTTTTTCGAAAAGTTTCCAAGCTCTTTCAGCTTCATTCCAGGTTCCAAATTCTCAAGGTTTAATATGCTCTTTGAAAACATTGCACAATAAAACGCTCAGACACACTAATACATATTATGACACTAAATAAACTCTAAGACTTCTCATAAATACGTGAAAACACAACTACAACAAGAAAAGTTGATGTTTATTTTGGTGAAAAAACTTCCGAACCAGCATAGCCGAGCTATGGAGACTGAGAGTGCGTGTTTACCGACCCATGGATATCACAAAATACCGTCAGAACCTGCTCTATAAGACGAAACTTAAATCATCCTAAGCATCTGGCTGAGGTCCAGAAGCTCATTACGTTAACCAGATGTAGTCTATTTATTTAACCGTTTGTTCTATTTTTGAATAAGGGAGGTTAACTACGGGTGTTTCACGCATCAAAGCTATACCACAACCAATGCATAGTGTTTATGACTGTTATTCTTTTTCATTCGCGTATTGTATCGCATTCATATTCCGGATGAACACAAGCTTTGGGCAATTCGTTGCTAGTATAAGCACATAGTCCTAAACTGTGGAACATCCGAACTGGTTATCGCCAAATAGGATCAAATGTGTGGTCACCAGTTGTTTTGAAATACTGTTCGGCGTTCACTTCTGGGTATTACTGGGACAAAACTACGCGTAAACACACTAACACCAGAGCCAAGTGCAGTCCTAGTTAACTGTTTCATGAAGTCGGATGCAACAAAATGTATTGCTGCTTTTCCTACCGAGGCATTCGGGAAAATACTCTGACCCTCAGGACCTGCTGTCAACCATGAGTTTTACCACGTTTCACTAATCGTTCATTCACATTAGTGGTCATGCAGTTTCACTTCGTCCCACACTTTTCCGTTCCTCGTCCCTCGTTTGTATGCCACACTTTTGTTTTCCACTCTTGGGCTGATGAAGCCCATTCCTCTCGTTCACTGACAGCCATGGTACATTTATGAGATAAGTATCAATACTCTGTGTGACGTTGTTTGTCAAATTAGTTGCTTTCCTTCTACTTAGTTTGCCATTCTGGCAAGGAATTTGAGTGGGTTCTAGATAGTTAAAGAAAATAAAGGAGATCTGTTCCCAGGTGCGTCGGTGGCTTAGTGGTTAGAACTGTCGCGGACCATGCACATGGTCTGGAGTTTGATCCCCTGCCGACTCACACCCGATATCTATGGTCGGCCTGAGAAATTTGGGCTACCGATATCACATGCTGAAAATTCCGTACTTGTACCAAAAATACGGTTTGGCATCAAGCTATAATCAAAATAAAAAATAAAATAAAAAAATATAACAGCTGCGGAAACGACTGATTTTCGTTTGAATTTGTGGTGTCATATATTCATCTGACTAGTTGAAGCCTTCGCCATATAACCCAAATGATTAGATATCGGGCCGGACAAACCACGTGAGAAGTGTATTTCTAAGTGTTATAGAGGAGATATTAACTAGCTGGAGTAGAATCCACCTCTAATTAACGAGAGTTACAATGATTTGCGAACACTAAACTTCAACATTGGACAGAGACGGGAAAATTGCTTGAGTAGAAGGAATTTCATGAAAATTAATATGTCAAAATTTTTTTCAACGAGCAATATGAAATATTTCTGAGAAAAGGTTTTCGCGGTGGCCGGTATGTTTGTTCAGTGAAACTAAGTCGTAGGGCGGTGGACCACCTTCTCAAATTCGGCCATATTGGTAGGCGTCTGGACGTTTGCTAGGATGTCGGCAGAACGAGAAGCCCTTGTATACCGTGCAAAGTTGGCGGAGCAGGTTGAAAGATATGATGGTAAATTATCTGAATATTAGTTTCATATATCATATTTGGTGCATTTACTAACGGTCACTTTATTATTTACCAGAGATGGTGGAAGCTATGAAGAAGGTTGTGGAGGGTGGTGAGGAGTTGACAGTTGAGGAACGTAATCTGCTCTCTGTTGCTTATAAGAATGTAATTGGATCTCGGCGATCATCTTGGCGTGTGTTTAGTGCGGTTGAGCAGACTGAAGAACGCCGAGGCAACAAGGACAAGCAAGCTGCTGCAAAGCGTTTCCGTGAAGTTTTGGAAGGTGAATTAGACCAAGTATCCAAGGAAATACTGGGTCTCATTGATAAATATCTGATCGAATCCGCGTCAAAACCTGATTCTAAAGTTTTCTATCTCAAGATGTAAGTTATTCATATTGCCGAATCTTGGCTTTTAGGAAAGGTGATTACTACCGTTACATGGCGGAGTTCTCCGTCGACCCCCAACGCAAAGAAGCGGCTGCGAAAAGCGATGATGCTTACAGAGAGGCCTCAGATATTGCTGCAACTCAGCTGGCGCCAACTCATCCAATCCGATTGGGATTAGCTCTAAACTACTCAGTTTATTTCTATGAAATTATGAACAACCCAGTCAAGGCGTGTGACCTTGCACGTTCTGCATTTGATGATGCTATTGCCAAGCTAGACCAGTTGTCAACCAAAGTCTCATAAACCGTTAATGCCCAGCTCTCGCTACGCTCGGGCCCACGCTGTTCTTAGAAGATTTCTGAGAAACGCTTAGTAACAACGGACGAAAAAACCAGAACACCAATATGTTGCTTGAGTATTATGTATTGTTACACCAGCATATAAATCAAGTATCACTAAGCAAACTAAGGTCTGTAAACAAATATTACAATAATAAATCGTTATGTTACTTCTGACGATGTTTCAATCTTCTTTCTGAACAGCGACCGATGAGACGATGACTGTCGTATTGATGCCTCCGCGAAAATCGAGGAAGTTGATTTTGAGCAAACAACCAAGAATTGATCGTTCAATCTTCAACTCCATTGACACTCCCCGGCAAAAAAGGGATCCAACCCTTTTTTCCTTCACGACCAATGCACGTTGACTTGGATGCCATTGCGAGAACCTGGGTCACACGGACAGAGCTGAAATGGAAAACAAACAGAAAAGCCAACACACCACAAGCATACCCACAGCACAATCTCACACATCGCTGACGACCTGCGCCTCCAGACAGAGACCTCCTCTTGACATCTTGCAACACAATCGCCACTTGCTAGAATGACTCTTGCAGAATGCAACGTGACCATAGCACCAACTCACGATACTCTACGCACATCCTCTTATCTACTCACTACCAATTACCACTGCAATCGCTTGTCACTCATTCTGCCTCAGTTCTAGTAGCGGTGACGCATGCGAGCCTCAGTCGTTTACACTCTTTCTCCCCGGCGTGTCGGACCGCAGCTAACAATTATCTCCGTGTGCATTTCATTCTCAGCAATAGCCTAGCCTCCCCGGCGTATACGACCCATCTGCTGTCCTTAACATCAATCAATTCATTCATGGATGTAGAAGACTCGAAACAACTTCAGAAGTAATCACGACGAAAATTTTAACAAAATTACGTAATAACAACAAGATACGAAAACAACGAGTAAACACAATGAATCCAAAAACACCAATTGATATGACACACCACACGTATATACAAACAGTACAAACAAACTCGCCGATCATGTCTTGATGGAATTCCTTTGAAGAATTGCAGGACTTACACCAGTACGCCTACAAACCCTCACAGGTTGATGATAAGTTGTGGAATGTCCGGACACAAACAGAATTACCAACAGCTAGATGACAGATGATATCAATTCAGTATATACAATATGAACATATGTACAAAATCACACACCGAGCACATTAGACTGCTCATTGATGCGCTACCCTTTGAAGAATTGTAGGACTTACAGCAGTACGCCTACAACCCTTCTCAGGTTGACGCTCTAGGTTGGAAAATCATCTATTGTTTCATCCTCCGACTCTCTACTCTCAGCACCTTCCAGGAGACACAGTTTTCTGATATCTCGCACCAACATGCCACAACTAGTTCTCACCTCAACCGTCCTCACCAATCCATCACCACTACAGATCAGCCTTACTACCACTCCCAAAGGCCACCTACCTGTGGCACATTTATCTGCTACTAATACTATGTCACCAACCTTTAAGTTTCGGCACAACTTTTTCCACTTGTCCCTGGTCTGCAATGTTAGAACATACTCCTTAAACCATCTTTTCCAAAATATATCTTTCATGTGCCTGGCTTGTTTCCATCTTTTAATCGTAGGTATTCCTTCCCCGCTTGAGTCCTCTATGCCAGGGTTGCCTCTCAATAACAATAATTTATTTGGGGTTAACACATCAAAATCCTTGACGTCGTCCCTCACAGGCGATAACGGCCGGTCATTTAATATTCGTTCAGCTTCACAAAAAAATGTCTCTAGCGTTTCGTCATTCAAACTCTGGTTTTTAATTATGGAGCTTAAAATACGCTTGATAATTCCTATAAGTCTTTCCCATAGCCCACCTCTATGGCTGGCATGTGGTGGGTTGAAGTGCCACTCGATGTTCCTTTTCAGTAACTCTTCCTGAACTCTCGTTTGAGGACCTTCGAAGTATTCTTTAAGCTCGGCGTGACAGCCAACAAAATTAGTCCCTCTGTCGCTGAACATCATCTTCGGTACACCCCGGCGATTTATAAATCTATGTAATGCTAGCACGAATGAATCAGTAGTTAGAGAATGAACCATCTCAATATGCACAGCTCTCATTTTCAAACAGGTGAATAAACAGCCATATCTTTTACATAGGGTTCTGCCTCTCTTCACTACAAAAGGTCCGAATAAATCCACCCCAACGTACTCAAATGGATAATTCCCTTCAGAAGCTTGCCACGCTGGAGTGGTGCCATTATCTGCTGTACTGGACGAGCATTTCGGAGTTTACATTCCATGCACTTATCAATTATTTTACGGACAGCAGTACCTCCCTTCACTATCCAGAACTTACATCGAATACTTGATAGTACTTGCGAAGTACCCAAATGACCTTCAAGAACATGGTAGTGTCTTATAATGAGATCAGTGACTGGATGGTAGCAAGGTAATAAAGCCGGATGACGGGTCTCATATGACGATTCTAACATTTGTAGACGTCCACCAACTCTAGCGATCCCTTCGGAAACTATCGGAGATAATCTATCTAACCGCACCTTGAAATCTGCGAAATCGGGACTATCCTCCTTGGTAATCTCACCCCACGCTTCCCACTGAGCAGCCCTCAAAATCGTTAACTCTGCATTTCTAATATCTTCGACTCTCAAAGGCCCCACATTCATATTTTCGTATCCCGCAAGATGCATGACCTTTAAATACGTAACATATCGTGTCAACCACGCAACCGCTTTCAGTAGTTTGTACCAAGAAGAATAATATTTAAAAAGTGGATGTAAACCTGAATGTCTTTCTTGAGTAGATGTTAAACTGACACTTGTCTTCAACTCCAAGGCACACTCGTTTATCGGTGGTTCATCTTCTCTACGAGGCCACATACTATCAGCCCTTAGCAAGAACTCTGGACCTTTCCACCACTTATTTTTAACAACATTCATATCAATAACTCCTCGCGATGCTAGATCAGCTGGGTTTTTTCCAGACGGTACGTACCTCCACTGCTCAACAGTTGTTAGTTCACGAATTTGAGATACTCTGTTAGCTACAAAACATGCATATCTTGCTGACTCGTTGCGTATATAATATATCACAGACATCGAATCAGTCCAAAACGTTACGGGATGCTTGGGGTAATCCAACTCTTTACACACTGTTGTGAATAACTGCGCAGCTAGTAAGGCGGCATTAAGTTCTAATCTCGGAATCGAAACCGTCTTTAGAGGTGCAACTCTGGATTTACCCATCACCAGGCTAACATCTATATCATTCATTAAGGTGGTTCTGATGTATACGGCTGCACCAAATCCAACCTCAGAGGCATCAGAAAAAACATGGAAGTCAATTATATCATGATTTCTCGACGGCTTAAGTGGACGTGAGACGGAATGTAGATTCAGCATTCTTAAACTGTTAACCCACCCCTTCCACTCTTCTCTCTGCCTCTCACTTAATGGTTCATCCCACTGTAACCCTTTCCTGCATGTCTCTTGAAATAACCTCCTAGCCGGAAGTAGATAAGGTGCTACTAATCCAAGTGGGTCAAACACGGACGACAACACAGAGAGCACACCTCTCCGAGTAACTGGCTTATCAATATCACCAACACTAAATCCAAAGGTATCAGAGTTCACATCCCATCGCATACCTAATGTGCGTTCAACTGGTAGAGTATCAACAGGCAAATCTCGTACGGTAGGTGCTCTATCTTCTGGATCTATATGCTTCAAAACGTCTAGGCTGTTCGAGACCCACTTAGTTAGACGAAAGCCGGCCTTAGCTAACACTTCAGTAATGCTTGTTGCAAATCTAACTGCAGACTTATCATCATCGAAGGAGGCTAAACAATCATCCACGTAGAAGCAACAATCTATGACGTCCAGCAAATCATTAGAACCAAATGTGGACACTGCCTTTCGTAGAGCAAAATTAGCACAAAATGGGGAGGATGTGGCACCAAATGGATGCACTGTCATCCTATATTCTGACACCTTACCACAAGGACCGTCATCAAACCACAAAAACCTCAAGTGATCTCTGTCACTCTCTGGCACCTTCACCTGAAGGAACATTTCCTCAATATCCGCCGCGACAGCAACTGTAAACTTTCTGAATCTCAATAGCAGTCCCACTAATGAGCTCACGCAATCTGGGCCACTATACAGATTATCATTTAAAGAGACTCCTTCGTGTTTCGCAGAACAATCAAACACCACACGGAGTTTACCTGGCTTCCTCGGGTTAAAGACGGGATGATGGGGCAAATACCACTTCCCTGGCTCACTTTGATCAACTAGTCTTTCAACGTAACCCTTCACTATATGTTTATCGACGACTTCCTTATATTTGGACCAGAGTTCTGCATCTGACAGGAATTTCTTCTGTAAACCCATTAGTCTCTTAAGAGCAACTTTCCTATTACAAATCAACTGTCTATCTTTGAATCTCCATGGTAGGCCAACGCTGAAACGCCCGTTTTCGTATTTACAAGAGTCCTCGGCTATTTTAACTGCTTTCAAGTCTTCTACAGAACGACCTTTCCCTGGGACACCGCAGTCACAAAACTCCTTGTCATACATATTTTTAATCATAGTTTCTAGTTTGTCCCCATCGTTTGTAACTAATGATGATATGTGGACTATGGGTATAGGTCCTCTCACT